ATGGGATGGGATGGGATGGGATGGGATGGGATGGGATGGGATGGGATGACCAGCACTGTCAGCCCCAGGGGGCCAGGCTGGGGTGCACTCCCCCCTCAGCACCCTCCGACACAACCACCCACCGGCTGCAGGAACAGCCGAGCAGCTCTGCCTGCTGCCACCCACCGCCAAAATAAACTTCAGCGCTCTCAGGCTTTGCTTTTCATAAACCATCCAGGTTCTCTGGACCTGATCCAGCAAAGCACTATTCCAACACAGAGAAATTCCTGCCAGGGCAATACTGAAGTGCACAATACTACTGTGCACATACATAAACCCGTGTTTGACTGGCAGCAGGCGCGGCCCTGGTGCCAGCGCCAGGCAGCTGATCAGGACCTGTCCGTGCTGCTCCTTCTCCAAGGGTTGTTTGGAAGGATGAAGTAACTTTTCTTGGAGCTCAGGCTCCCCCGGGCAAAAATACAAATGGAAGAATGTATTTTGTAAGATTTTTCTCTTTAGTATCAATCAGAATCTTAAACAGCAACAGCCCTGGAGTAGAGACCGAAGCTGTGAAAACTGAAAATACATCTCAAGAATAGAAAAGGTTAAGAAATGGGAAGAAATGCATTTTCACTGACTCATATAGTTCATTTCAGAAGGAAAAGCTGGAAGTGTCATCTTTATAACATACCAGGAAGCAATATATAAACTTTAAGTTAGAACAGCGAACCATTCTCCAAACATTCAGTTTTACCTCCAAAGATGTTTTTGCTCATGAGTCAGAGCTGATCCCAAGCCAGTGGGGATGTTTCTATTTACTTTGAAATTGTGCCTGCAACTGCAAATCCAACTTATTTTTCCTGAGGCCCACAAGTGATCTCTTCCAAGGCCTGAGTCTTTCCTCCAAGGATTATAAACCCGAACTACTATGAAATCCAGCTTTGTGCAGAGCTTTGTGCACCTCTCGGTAAGGCCAAGGATGGGGCAGGGTGAGGGCAGAAAGGAGCCTGACGTCCTCCAGCGCCGCTCCAGCAGCCCCGGAGCTTCTGCAGGGCTTGCACCAAAAAGTGATGCTTGCCCAGCCGAAATGGTTCGTCTCCGAGCTTCTCCCCTGTGAGCTCTAAGGCAGCCTGCCATTTCGGGGCAAGAAAGTGAGTTTGTGAAAGCAGATGACGCTTCCCTGCCCTGCCCACAGGGACCCTCAGGGGCAGGCAGGACCTCAGGGCTGGGATGGGGGGGGACAGTAACCCCTAACACCTTCCTCTGCCCCCAGGCAACACTTGTGGGAGCCCAACAGACACCCCCACAACGACAGCCGTGGCCATGGGGACAAAAGACACCAGCAGCACGGGAGCCCTCGGAACCCCCGGAACGCCCAGCACCACCAAGCTGACACCAGAGACGACTGGTAATTGCTCCCCTCGATCCCCCGGTGATTCCCGGTAGCATTTTCGTTAATAATCAGATTTATTAGGCTTGCCCTGAGAAACTGCACAGCTGGCGCATGGTCGTGCTCTCAAAAAAGAGCCTGATAGTATGGTCAAAAGCTTTAATCCTGTCAAAAAAAAACTCCACCGAGGGAAAACTAACGCTGTTCTCTTCAGGACGGGCAGCTTAGACCCATCCTTTTCAAAACAGCCAAGAGATGAAGGGACAAAATGCTCATTAATCTTTTATCTCAACACACCTATTCTTTGCTCAGCAAATGGCAGCCCTAAGAGATCTGCCAGTCTTTCCAGCGAGAGGCCGAGGCTCTGAAGGGCTTTGAAGCAGGGACCCTTGCACAGCTGTACGGTGACTTTCTCTTACGCTGTTTGAAATCAATGCATCTTTTTGAAGGCGCTGGGTCAAGGGGGAGACGAGGGTGATGCAAGGGAGGTCGGGCGATGGCATCCTTGCTGCGGTGCGGCGTATGCCCAGGAAATTAGCCCATTGTAAACAGATTAGGAAGCGCGTGTAACAATTAGGTAACCGAAGCAAGTCTAATGGGCGTTTCTCACACAGCCACTAACACGTTCTGGTATGGCTGGCTATGACAAATCAATATTGTACTTCAGTCATTGCAATGCCACGCACTGATTTTAGGGGACATAAGCTTTCTCATGTATCCTTTTCACTACATTTCTTCAAAACCGAAGATGCAGCCGGGTCCCTGGCAACCAACCCCACCTCCCAGGGGCTCAGCACTGAGCAGACAAGTCTGCATCCCAGTCAAGCCCCCACGCAGCCACTGGGCACCCCCTCGGAACCAAATCAGACGAGCCAAGGAGTGCCCACAACCGAGAGCCCAGCGACAGGACCCAGCACGATGGCAGAAACCCTGGGGTCCACGCCAGCTCTGACGAGCTCTCCTGCCACCTCGGGGCATTCTCCCATTGCAGCTGCCACCACGCCACTGCAGAGAGTCACGGACAGCCCGAAGGTGAGGATGCAGCTGGGCACCGTGGGCTGTGGGACCACCAGGAGGCTGGGCCTGTCTCACAACGCCCCGACAGTTCACTGATGCCACCACCCTGTTTTTTCCTTTCCAGAACATCACATGCCACAATGTCAAAGAAGTGAGTGACACCGGAGCCATCTGCTTGCAGCTCAACGAGTCCTACACTTGCGTGAGTTGCAGCCCTGGGTGGCCACACGTCTCCAACGGGGGGACGTGCAGGAGGAGGGGGGTGCTGCAAGAAAAGAGCTCAAGGCAGGTTCCTGCAGTGCTCTCAGGCTTGCAGGGATCGGGTCACCCACCATACCTGGGGGGCTGGTTTGGGGCGGGGAGCTCACCCCGTTATCCCTAGGGCAGAGCATCTGAGCTGTGCAAACGGATGGAGATGGGGATGATCACGGCGGTCCCAGGAGGATCCCAGAGGGATGATCACAGCAGTCCCAGGGGAAATGCAACCTCGTGGTTGCATAAAACCTCCCTTTTCATGATTAAGCTCTGGGGTCAGATTAGCTTCTAAAGGATCTCCCACCATGTTTAACGGGAAATTGCCTTTGTTCTTCTTCTTCCTCTTCCCTGTTGGGAATGCGAATGACTTTTTTTTGTCTTGCCAACTGCCCTAGGAAAGAAATCAGGGCATCTGAAGGAGCACGTTGTTGATCAGTGTCCCCATCTGCACCAACTCCTAAGGGAATCCCAGGCTCTCTGTAAATGCCCTTGGCCTTGTGCCCCAAAACCGAAGAATTTATAAAAGCCCAAGAGGGTCTGGCTGAGACATTACTGTGGGTGGGAGGGAAGAAACCTTACACACTGCGGGCACGACCTGCAACAGAGGGCAGATGGTGCTGGATCTTGTGGGACAGCAGGCTTGGCAGTGCCCTGGGTATAAAAGGACAGCGATTCATTTTACTTCTGCTGGTCAGCCAGCCGCTCAGGATGAGGGAATTCTTACTTGGCTTTTCTCTGCAAATCGGTGATTAAATGGCACTTAGACTTGCTCCTCTTTGCGGGGGCTGCACTTTAGCAAGAACTTCACCTGGAAGCTCCCGCGGGAGTGAGGCATCTTGATCCCAGATGCCAGCTAGTGGGCAACGGCACTGCCCCGGCGCGGGGCTTATGCACATTAAGCGTGCATTACATACCTGCGTATGCATGAACGGACACATCTACACCACACAGAACATCCTACGGGGTCGTAGCTCGTTGCACAAACTCTTAACCCTCCCTCCATGTGAAACGAGTCAAACTGCCCCGCTTCCAGCCGTGCTTTTCTGGGAGCTCTCACCCCAGAGCAGACCCTTCACCTCAGCACTCATCGAGAGGGAAAATCCAGCTCAGGCTCAGCAGCTGCTGAACCTGGGAACCAGATAAGAGCGTCTGCGAGGAGAGCAGATAGGAGGGACCGTGCCGTGTCTCTCTTTCCTGCTGGCCTTTCCCAAAGCAAATGAGCAATAAGCTGGCACCCAGCGCTGCTAATTGCAAAGGGAAACTCTGACACTCCGATGAGTTCTTTCCACAGCAGAGAAAGGAAAATACACACTTGGGTCTCTTGTTCCATCTTGGCCTTTCTCACCCCAAGCCAAGCTCTATAGAAACAGCTGAAAATGATTTGTTTGTTATTCTCCCATGGATAAGTTTCTGCATTTTTGTATGCTAAGAGTATGTGGCGATCCGAGCACAATACTGAGGCAATTCTAGGGCAAAGAGAGGCAGGCACTGAGCTGCCCAGCTCTGCGCAGCGCTGCAGGACAAGAGGGTTTTCTCCTCTTTCACAGCCCCACATTGGTGGGCACCTCCCAGAGAGCAAGTGAAGGGTAGGGGCAGGATGGGGGGTTCAGCTCGAGCCGGTCTCTGTCTCGGGTGGGTGGGCACAGCCACAGCTCAGATGATGTCCCCAGCTGGGAGGATGTTAGGGAAGCTGACAACGTCTTTTAGCAACTGTGGGCTCTGTCTTCAAGTCTGATCGTGTCTGAAAATAGACCTGAGGAGAAAGCCTATCCTGTCTGATACAGAAATTGGCCCGCCGAAGGGAAAGGCTGCAGCTCCTCACTCCTCTTCCTCTTCCACCCAAGAGTTGCTTCAGCTCTAAAATGTGAGAAATTTGTATTTTTTTGCCTAGCCTTTGATCAGCAACCTAGCAAAAACACTGAAGACATTTCCTAAACAGGAAGGCTCAGTGCTTCTTTGTTATTTCCCTCCTTTCCCAGCCCCTGCCTGGGACTCTGAAACAATAGGGTTCTTCAGGCAGCTGTTTCAGTCCAAAAGTTAGAGAGACTTGCCATACAAGTCAGATCCTAAATTTAGCTTCGTTTAAATGCCATTTGCAAGAGTTGCTAATAACTTCTTCATTTAATTCTCATTAAGTTAAGAAATAAGCCTCTCCATTTTCTAGGTGCTGGGGCTCGAAGCAGTGGTGAAGTGGGAGGTGGAGGTCTGACACCAGTCCAGAGCTCTTTGTAACCTCTGGTTGCTTCTGCTCACTTTGCACAGCACGGGAAAGCCACCAACACACAAAGGGTGAACGCACAACGCTACCAGTAGCATCACCAGTATAGCTGAAACAGAGAATTAGTTGGTTTGGTTGATTCAATACCTGTTGTTTTGTTTTGGTTTGGTTTGGTTTTTTTAAATTTTGCAGAAACACTTTTTAGAGATGAAGGGATCAGACTTATGGAGCGCGATATGTGAAAACAGCACCCACCGTGTTCCCTCCCCCTGCCAGATTAAACTGGCCAAGTCTGAGGTGGACCGTGACTGTATGCTCCTCATCCTCGTCGGTGAGAGAGGTCAGTTGAGCTAATTCCTTTGGCTGTCATTGATAATGACCTTGATGTGGGCTCTGGGAGAGGGGACTGTCTGTGGGACACAAAGCCTCAGTTACAGCCTGTGAGGAGACTTCTCTCTGCAACTCCTGCTCTTTCTGCTGGGGTCTTGCTAGATCCACAGAGCCATGGCGTTGCCTCCGGAGCAGCGAGGGGGCTCGCGGCTCCTCCTCCTTCAGCAGTGGCCAGGCTCTTTCGTGCTGACATTAGCTGCAGTGTGACCTTCTATGTAATGTGCCTCTCCTGTTTTAAACCCTGCAGATCCTGCTGCAGACATGCTCCAGGAGTCTCACTGGGAAAAGGTAAATTCCTTAAGAAAATTCAGCTGGAAAAAATGGATGGCCCGAGCGGCTGGAGAAAGGAGATTTTAGACAGTCAGTTGGGGCTGGGGCAGACTGGACCTGCCTCCATCTCGGAGGTGCCTGTTGGGTGTTGGCACATGAGATGGTTGGAGCCAACCGCCAGTTGGCAGCGGTGCCCAGTGAGAGAACTAACAACCACGGAAGGCAGAAATGCTTGGAATAGTCACTGTCAAATTCTGTAGTATTTTCTTTAAAAAGGCCCCAGATCCCAACCGTAACTCTTAGGATGTAATTGGCACTCTGCTCCTTCAAAGCACCGTGCTGACTTTAACTAATTTCTCCTCTCAAGACTCCAGCAAGGCTGCCACCAGCTTGTAGGTGCCCGCACCCAGGGCTGCAGCAGCACACAGAGACCTTCCAGCCATGCAGGTGCACGCTCTAAATCTCACGGCCTGAGCTCTCTGCTCCCAGGGAGAACATTTCCCTGTGCCACAGAATCCTACCTAGGATGGGACTGAGACCATGAGGACGTGAGAGCTCCCAGGGCAAGCGCTAAGCTCAGGAGCTTGGGTAGCAAAGCCCAGCTTTGTTTACGTGCAGTTTAACAAGGAGGTGAAGAGCAGCATTGTTTTAAGCCTGGTGCCTGTTCAGCAGATGCACATGTTTCCTGTTTGTCAGACTCCCGGCTCTCTTTGGTGTTTTTTTTTTTTTTTTCCAGTTTGGAATAAAATCCGTTAAACGGGGGAGCGTGAGGAGCCACCAGGACTTTTCTCAGAAGACCCTGATCGCCTTGGTCACATCTGGACTCATGCTGGCGTTCCTGGGCTTGGCTGGCTACTTCCTGATGAAGCGGCGGAGCTGGAGCCCGGCGGGAGAGAGGCTGGTTAGTGCTTATCGATGGCAGAAGAGCAGGTAGAGAGGAGCCGGGGGGGGCCCAGGGCGGGAGAGGAGGGGGCTGCTCCGTGCCCTGCACTCCGTACCCTCAGCCCGTCCCTGTGTCCCCAGGTCCATGGCACAGCTCAGCTGGCCCACGAGGCGTTGAGACCCGGGACTGGGCCAGCCCGGGCAAGGCGAAGGGCATGAGCAGGGAGGTCACACCGTACAGGGCGAAGGGAAACCTCTCTCGCCTTCTAAAATTAACCCTTAGCTGATCGCTCGTGTGGGACATCCGCCCCCTTCTCCCTTGTACTTCTAGGTCTAATACTTACTTTTGCTCAGCAGTAAGAACTCATCCAGCAAGATCCCTCCAGAGACACCAAAACCTTATGAATTTGTCATTAAAATGACACACTTTAACTTTCCATTTGCTGCGTTTGAGTTATATGTCTGTCTTGTACCGTTGCTGTAATAAAGGCGATTTCTCCCCTCACTTATCAAGTGATGGTAATAAAAATATATCAAGAAAGAAAATTTCCTATTTCCATTTTCCCCTTTCCAGGCAGGCTGAACATTGAGGACTCTTCCCTGCCAGTGACTTTCAGGGACATGAGCCCTCTGTAAAGTGAGGACAGGCCACGCTTTTCCCCCGTCAGCACTCGTGGGCGAGGGAACAGTTGTGTCCCAGGAAGCCATTAGGTTATTTCCTTGCCAAAAGGATCCTCTTGAAACGTGCCGCTGGGAAGGCAAGTGCATGTGTCAGAGGCAGGGACATCGCAGCTTGGGCTCTCGAGCCTGCTGCCTCCAGGTACCATCTCCTGGCTGCTGGCAGCAAGGGAAAGGGCAGTGGGACCTGCCCATGTAAATGTGTGGCAGTGTCAGTCCAGTTTCTGGGTGAGACGTACCCAGCACCCCCACCTCACTGCCACGGCCAAGGGGTCAGCAAAGGGGCTGAGGGAGACCTGGGGCGGGCGGGACGCCCGGCAGCCTGCGGGCTGTGCTGGGTGCTGCTGAGCCAACGAGGAGCGGGGCTACCTGCTACCAGGTGGCAGTTGCCACCTGTGGCCCAGGAGCCTCAGCACCCGTTGCCTTGCTGTCAGACCTGCCACACGTTGGGGAGTTATGAGGGGGGACAGAAGCAGCTCTGCCAGTGCTCTGGGTCCCCCAGCAATGGCCCTGACAAGCCCCACAGCGTGTCTTTGCTCTTGCTGGAGTGCAGTCCTGCACTTCTGCTGGCACCTTGCTGCGAGCTGTACAGATATTTACAGGCTGAAAGAAAGAAGGACAGGGAAAGAAAAAGAGGCAGTCTCCAGAGCTTTCATTCCGTGGGGCCAAAGCGGAAAGCAGAGGTGGTCTGTCATGGGGTAGCTTTGCAAACCCAAGGCTGGGTCAACTCCAAAACCTGATTATAAGAAAACAACAAAACCTGACGGCTTCTCTTTTCAGGTCCAGGAGGAAAAAAAAAGAAAAAACCCAAAAAAACCCAAAACAGTTCCTGGCTGGTTTTCTTGCTTCGTCTTGCCACGGCATGGTTCAGGGCCTGTCCCCCTTCTCGTCAGTGAGAGCAGGTTCCCCTGCCTGCAGCCGTTTGTGCCTCCTGCCCAGGAAGCGCCGGCAGCCAAGCCTCTGCCTGCGATCAAAGCCGGCTGCTGTCAGCCCTTTCCCTTCCCTAACTCTGCCTTTGTTATTTATGTACCTGTTTAGGCTGAAGACCCGTATTACACGGAAAATGGTAGCCAGAGAAACACGATGTTGATGATGCCCCCCCAAGAGCAACCTGAGCTGCAGGAGAAGCCAAACCTCAACGGTGGGACTCAGGAGAACGGGACCGGCCAAGCATCCTCCAAAACCAGCCACTCAGCCAGGCAGCACAGCCCCGCCGACACCGAGATGTGAACCCGCACAGAAGGGGCTTCCTGAGCGTGAACTATGGGGAGCAGAGAGACGAGGGAGGGCAAGAGTTTTCTATGGACAGCTAGGGAATTGCAGACCTTTTTTTTATTATTATTATTATTATTATTATTATTATTTTTGTGATGAACTTCAAAGATCAGCCTAAAGCACATTAAGCACCAGATCTGACAAAGACCTGCTTCTCTGCCTCCTCCTGCTTCTCCCACTGACCACACAAGACACTTTTTCGCAGCTGTTCCCTGCTTTTGTTGTTAGAAGAACATAATGAGAACCGCAAGTGCCCTTAGCCCTGAACAGCTTTTAAGCAGAGGCAGACTGAAGCTACAGAAGCCCTGAGCCAGACTCCAAACAGCCAGAATTATTGGTGGCAGTGTGTTAGGCTGATTGAAATAGTTAAATTGGGATTTCAGTGACAAAAACCGCTCAGGTTTCAGATAATTTTGGTTAACGGAGTTATTTTATATCTCACCTCTATGTTTAAGTGCAGGATCTCTTCCTCTTTTAAGATCACCAGGCATTTAATCCTCCTCCTTGTGCTTTAGGTCTTTAGTATTTCCTTACTCCAGCAGAATTTGCTGAAGCTCTGTGTAAAATTTTTCCACGCAGAATTGAAATGTGAACAGACCTCAAACTTGTTTCTTTTTCAATCCTACTAGTAGTCGGTTTAGAGTAAAAATCTTCCCCAGTCTCTTCACGTCAGGGACTGGAGATGGCGTTTGACAAGGCAGAGCCAGCAATCACTCCCCTGAGATGGAGAATGTTTGCTGTGGTTGGAGATTGGCTTTGCAGAGCCCTGGGGTTAGCAGTGCCCCCGCCTCCTCCCGACACGTTGGGGCTAGTGCCTAGGGTAGGACTGTGGGGGGTAAGAGATGCTCCCAGTGGGGTGAGTGCTAGACAGAAACCTGGCTCTGCTACTGTTGTTCCTCCCTCTGCATGAACAAAGTTAAGTATTTTTTGGCTTTGGTCAGCACCAAAATCCCAACAGCAGGAGCAGGTCCCACCTAGCTCTGCACTGATCCTGCTCCTGAGGCAAGGGGTGCCACAAGCCACATGGCTGAGGGCGAGCCACAGGCAGCTCGGTGAGAGCCCAGGGGGAGGTTTGTGCTCCGTCCCGAGCAAGCGCAGCTCACGTTTTGGGAGCCAAAGCTCTTGTTGTGCAAGGCCGGTGGTGGTGGTGCGAGACCACGAGACAGACACTGGTCAGACCACAACCGCTGCTGGCACCAGCAGCGACCTTCACGCCCGAAATAAGGGCAGAAATGGCCCTTGAAGCTGATGTACCCTCTCACTGGTGAATTTACTGCGATTTTTTTTTGGTACAGTGCTTAAAGGAACGACAGCAACATCCGTCATCATCATCTGGGGCTGTTTTCACGGGCGCAAGAGCCATTTAACCACAGTTTAAAATATTGCAGGTTTTGTTTGTTTTGGTGTGAATCGCTTCTCCCAAATCTCATTGTAAATAATCCCAGTTGGTAAAAAAAAAAAAAAAAAAAAAAAAATGTCCTTGGAACAAGAGCGTGTTTATCCCGCCGGGATGCACGGCTCTGGCTGCGCCGTGTGCCAGCGCGAGGAGAGGACAACGCCTCGCGCAGAGGTTGCTTCCCAGCAGAAATTCTGTGACTAAAGGCCGTGGCTTGTTCCGTGCACGTTTTCTTTGTCTTTCAACAAACGCGTCCGCAGGACGAGCGACGTACAGCACGCGGTTAAACCCCGTTCGTTTGGTTTGCTGATGTCTAAGAGGCCCAGCTAATTCCTGGGTAAAGAAATGAGACTCCGGGCTCAGGGAGTGACCTGCAGGGCTGGGGTCTGGCCTCAGAGCGGGGAGGGGAGGGTGTGCACGCACATGTGTGTGTGCGTGAGGATGAAGAGGATGAAGGCTTCATCACACTGCGCAATAACCAGCCACGGCTCCTGCCTCAAAGAACTTGCAGGGCGATGCCTGGTGGTCCCTGAGTGCCTGTTGGCGTGGAGGTGCCGGAGCTCCACAGAAACCGGGAGCTCTGGGGCTGGGGACCTTTGCTGACCTGGCCCCCTCCTCTCTGGGATGCTCGACCCTTCCTAACGTCTCCCAACAACTGGGTGCTTCTTGGGGGGTCCTGAAAACGTCTGGAAACCAACCGCTGCCAGTTCTGTCGTGGTTTGGGGTAATCTGACCTCGGAAAGACCGGCTGCGGGGGGAACAGATGCGGGAAAACGAAAGTACTTTCTCTCCCAAGAGACCTGCTGCGGAGTGCAGGGGAAGCTCTCCCAAAGGCTTCATTTGCGCCACGGCTTAGGAGAGGAAGCCGGGGTTGGCGCTTTTTTTTTTTTTTTTTTTTTTTTTTTTTTTTTGGCAGTTGTTCATCTAATCAGCGCTACTCGATGTATCAAGAGATCTAATCAAACGTCAGGTGCATTTTTCACAGCTCAGGGTATGTCCTACAGCCAAGCAGAAACAATAAAGTTACAGTCAACTGCTTTGGCAAAACAAAAGCTTTCCCTAAAACATCCAGATCAAGGGAAATGCTGAGAGCGGCGGTGGCCGAGCGGGGACGGTGCCGAGCCAGCGGAAAAGGCTGCTCTTCCAGCTCAGGAAGTTTTTTGCCTGTGTGTAAACACAGGCAGGCTCAGCTCTGGCCCAGCTGAAAAGGTTATTATTATCATTCCTTCCTTATCAAACTCCTTGCATCCCTTCCTTGCCGGCCCCACCGTGGGCCAGGCAGCCTCCTCCTCTCACCATCCCGTGCGGCCTGGGGGCTCACAGCTGTTTTTTGGGCCACTTTTGGAGGCTTTTGGGGGGCTAAATCCGTTTCGGCTTCCAATAGTGACCTGCTTTCCCATAAACATAGTTCAAGGTTGATGCAAGTGCTCTTGTCTGATTCGTGATCTCATGCCCTGCCCACATATAGTTTATATACAGCCCGTTTAGCTCGTGGGGACCCTTATATCAGCATGGCTCGCCCTGATGAAAATAATCAGCATGAAAGCATCCTCTGGGGAAGAATGGTAACAAATACACAGGCAAGGATGAATATAAATTTGACACAGCCGTTAATGACACGTCAGTGGCCTGGCCTGAAACAGAAGCAGGAGTTCTGACACCCATCCAGGCGGCCCCCGAATCCTTCTGCAGGTTGACATCACAGACTTTTTCGGAAATGAAGGAAAACCTTCCTATCTGAACTGCCATCAAATGCTACTGGGAAGGTGGCTTGCTCTGTGCATTGTTGAAAGCAATCAAATTTATCAGGGCAAACTAGTTTGAATTGTTTTATTAACTATGTCCCTCAGTGGATTTTTCCATCCCTCTCATAATAAAAACAGCACAGCCTTTCCAGGTGAGAAAACTCCTGTCCTGCCCCTGCCCTGTCCTGTTCTCACCAGCCCCTCACAGCAAAACAGCACGTCCCAGGTCAGAGAAAAGTAGCTCCTTTCTCTGTTTGCTGGTTGCTAATTTCTTTTTCGTTGATTTGGCGCTGGGAAAAGCGACCCCGATGCCTTGAGACCCCTCAGCAGCAGGACCAGTCTTGGCACAAGCAGCAAAAAGTTGTGGCCCTCCAAAGCTCCCAACATTTTGCTTGAGACCCCCAGAAGAAGATGAGCTCCCCTGGTGCTCTCCAAGCTCCAGATCTGCCAGGAGAGATTTACTGGAGCATCGTGCTAACATTTTGGTTTAAGGGTAGATACCTTGCGTGCCTTGTCGCGCTGTGAAATATTTACCCCCTATGAAATTTTATTTAGCTTAGAGGCTACAGAAAGACTATTTCTTTTCAGTTATAGCAGATAAGTGTTCCTCTCTGCAGCCCCAGCTGTGGCCCAGCTACGCGGGAGCTCGGTGCCCACCGGCCGCTGCACGGAAATGGAGAGGGGTCACAGCACCAAGGTTTCTGCATGACTTTGAAACCAGCAGGAATAGTCTGGGGTATATTATATATAACAATGCTGCTATCTGCTGGCTGTGCTCTGCTAAAACAGTTATTGCTTTTGCTCTGGAGGGCAGCTGGTACTCGGGGAACGGTCCCCGCTCAGAGGCAGCACCTAAAGAAGAGTCCGGCTCCACCACAGTCCCCCGCTGCGCCCCGGGTGCTGGTAACACCAACCAGAGGCTAAAATATTCACATTGTAAAATTATGGGAGAAGTAATACATACAGTGGGCTTTGAAGCTCGTGTTCTAGGAACAGGGAACATCTAAAACGAAATTTCTAAAATGAATTTCCCATCAATCCACTTCCCATCTGCTTGTTCGACGCCTGATCCTGCGAAACGCGTGTGGGAGTTCTACAATATTTGCTGCACCATCTGCTGCGAGGCCACGCGGGTTTTTCCATCCAAGCGCAGGGAACGCAGGCACGCCGGCAGGCTCTGGAAACATCCCGTGTGACACTTCGGGTGGCTGATGGGGAAGAAGCTGCCGAAGCAGCGCCGGCGGAGCCAGGGCACGTCCCTGCGGCCGCAGGCTGGGCCCTGCCCGTGCCCTCGGCTTCCTCCCGCCAGCCCAGTGCGTTCCAGTGTTGTACCAGTTTGGAGTCAGCCAGAAGCTCGGTCACGATTAGGTGGCCGTGATGACATTTCCCAGCGTTGGTAAAGGATGATGTTCCAGCTCATCGCTTCTTCTCTCCTTTCCCAACCATGGAAACGGGCGTCCCGCAAGGCCCGTGTAGATCATGGGATGTTCCTGCCTTTGCTTTCAAGGTAAAGGGAACGGCACCTGTGCAGGGCTTTTCCATCCCCCAGAAAATATTGTGTTTACAGCTATTTGCCTTACAGGTGTTTTAATTCTACACCTTTAATCTTAGCCTTCAGATCCATTTAATTTGCTGGTGTTTTGATTTGTAGTAACAGACGCAAATGAGATTATTTATCCCCTGAGATAAACCGTCAAAGGCAAACGCTGAAGAATTGAGCTCTAAAACCATTTCAATATGCTCCTGTTGGAAACCCAGAGATGGAGCCAGAGATGAACACAGGTTGGGGTGAGCCAGGGCTCGGGCCTCAAGCACAACACACGCTGCGTGAGAAGCGCATTGGGGCTGATGCACGGAGCTGTTCCCCCGTTCGCAGGTTCTTCTCCTCATTTCTTAAGGACCCACAAGGGCAGGAGGAGGCATCTTCACAGCATGCAAAGAAAGCATGCCAAGAGCTGTGAGGCTCCAAGTTTTTCTTTTTTAACCTTAAAAAAAAAACAGGTGAGACAAGAACAGGTAAGCCCGGGACGCTGTTTCTGGGGGAGAGGGTTGGTTTGGAGGGGATGGCTGTGGAGTCAGGTGGGGGAATTGCATTGGGTTAAGATTTTACCTATAAAAAATTCTTCGTGTTCTTCTGGAGAAGAAAACCAAATAATTTTGAAAAGGTGGGGGTTTTTTTTGTTAGTTTTCTAGTGGAAAGTTATTTTATTGGGGGAAAAGGAGACTAGTTCCAGTTTCTCACTTGAACTGCAGGAAAAAAAGGTCTGAAAACAGTCATACTGCTTTCTGTCTGACACAAGACATAGAAAATGTCCCAAGGGCATCTGCCTAGGAAATTTATTTTCAAGTTACATTTTTTTTTTTTTAATTCCTATAAATTAAACAATACATTAATCTACTGACCCTTGGTTATTTATTTGCTATTTCTGGTCCTTGTGAGTTTTTTTTCTTCATTTTTAAAATCTTTCTGTTTGTATCTTCCTTCTTCTCTTATCTTCTGCCTGCCCCAGAGGCTTATTGCTGCTTTGGCAACATGCTAAACGTGTTTAGGAACGATAAGACACCTAATTAATAGTTTAATTAGTAGTACAAGGTCTTAATGGCTTATTAAAGGAAATACATTCAGAAAATTCTTTTCCTTTTCTTGCGCTGGTACAATATGATTTACGAGGAAATGATAAAACAGTTTTGAACGGCATTCGGACTTTTAGTCAAGAAAGTGGTGCTGGGTTCATGATTTCACGGAGGATTTTTTCACCGCTAATACTAATTTTTTTTTTTTTTCTGTTGTTTTAAAAACAATTTAAACAGATTAACAAAAGCGCTTGCGAAGGAGCAATGTTGCTGTGGGGTGGCAGGCAGGAGCGTGACGAGCCTGGATGCAGAATTAAGTAAAACTGCCTTCCCTACTTCTGCAGATAAACAAGTCCTGGGGAAGGTAAACTTGCTCTGGCTGAAATGTCAGGTCGTGCTCCGAGCTGGGGCAGCTCAGCCGCTCGCAGGCTGCGATCCTCCCCACTCCTTTTTCACTGATATTCGCTACAACTGATTATTTTTATACAAAGGCATCCTTGGCTTATAAACTCCAGCAGAGTAAGGACCTATAAACCCTCTGGATCCCTCTTGCTTTTCCCAGTCAGAAACTCAACGCTAAGCCCCGCTGCGCCGGCGGAGAGCTGAGGGAAATCAAACCGCGCTGCGCCGCTTCGCTGCAGCTCGGATTCCCCAGGCCGCCGTGTTTTTCCTCTGACCCACACAAAGATTTCTTTCTAAATTTATCACAGCGTTCATCAGCAAGTCCCACTTAGTGGCAGATGACGAGGCCGGGC